CATATGTACGAATACGACAAGGAGGTCGTGCATTGCTTTTTCTTTCGAATCGATGTATTATGTTTACTGATACTGTAGCGTAAATATCTCCGAGAAATCAGAAACTCTGGAATCGACCGGAAATCAAACCTGTGGATCTATGCCAGATTATTGCCTACCGTTTATAGTATCAATTTTGTTTCATTTTATTAGTTCGTTACCGTACATATATACGTCCGTTATCCCCTCAGTTGTTTCGGTTTTCCGCCTGGCTGTGTCGATTCACCACCCTGTGCATAGCCTACCCAAGGAAGAAGAAATGTAAGCAGACAATTAAAGGAGCTTCGGAGCTCACATTGTTTGGTCTGCAATCGCCATCATTTGGCGACGACGCTCCGACGACACCGCCCTTTTAATATCTGTTTGGTTTGATCCGTTTACTCCCTCCCAGATCTTCCTTTCTACCTAATAAGTTTTCCTCTGTTCTATGTCTGCCAGTCTGGTCGCTCCGCTCTCAGTGAGCCGCGTCCGGCATCATCACCGCGTATTGCCAGTGCATCCCGCTTTGCTAAGTACTATCTATCACTAGTGCAGTAACAACCTCAGTGACTGTAGTGAGATCACAGCTTCCTATTGTTGTTTTCTGCGTTGCTGGCAATCCTATGCACGTCCATCGATGCCTCTAGATAGTTGTAGACAATTGTGGATGTCGTCGCTTTACTTGGCGGTGCTTGTCTTGGTGTGCCTTTCGCTTTCTGCCGGTGACCAACAGCATATAATCTGTGATGGAAAAAAATAGCGGCGTTGGCACCGCCATTGCTTCTGTTACAGGTACCGCTATAGCGACGTTTACTAGGGTCGGGGTGATGGCGACGCCAAGAGCCAAAAATCGCTTATACTAGTTGCTAGCTATCTAATCGCAGCGCATTCGTCGTTCGAGAAAAGTCAGACACGTTCTGGACTCGCCGATAATAACCCTACAAAGAGCATCAACGAGGTTGAACGATCGAAGCGGGGCAACCTAAATTCACTATCGACACTGCTGAAATAAGCAGTTGCGAACAGAGAACAATAAGGGGTAACAAAGTAAAAAGCTGAATGAAATAAATATATGAGGAGAAAATCGGGGTTAGGCAGGCAGAACTGCTTAGGCAGCGGCAGAAGCAACAATAACTGTAGAGAATCGGAACGCAAACGAAAGAAGAAAAAACTAATTGTAAGTAATTCATTGTTGACGCTTATAACGCTCATTCAGCACGGTGGTTCGAAAAAGGAAATTTGAGGGACGGTCTACAATAACGCAGCTTTTCAGTAAGCCGTGTCCGTCACTCACTGAGTCAGTAGTCGTCGTTGTTGTGTGCTGACTAGGAACCAGAAAAGGCATCTACTTTTGCGTACGATATGACAGTGTTAATAACACGGTTAGACCGTATCAGCGAATGAACATCACGGCAGCGACATGTGTTTGTGTGGTGGTAACGGGTACTAAAGGGTGCGTGAGGGTCCAGGTTCAAGTCCGAGCGTAGACACGCTACATGTTGCGGTGGGAAGGGCGCGCAGTCTGAAGCAATGTTTAACGGCCCATGTACCGTATATAGAACTCGAAACATTCATCAACGGTGGAGCAAGAAGCGGAGTCATCACGGCCAGCGCCTTCACAATTAAGGAACAAAGTTTTTTTTTTCTCTTTATTTTTTCCTTCTTCATCACAGACGGCTAGTTTCGATCAGTTTGTTGTGGCCACTGTTGCTGATGGCGTCCATTGCAGCCCCCAATCAAGCTCTTCTATCGTGGTATGATGCTGCTCTAGTAATACTAGTAATGTTTTATGATAGTTATAGATAGAACAAATCGCTACTATCGCCGTTGCATTGCCGCAGTATGCTGCTCATCTCGGCGTTACCACCCACTTTTTTCTGGGTGTCATTGTTATTATTTTTGCTCATACTGCGGTGCTGCTTACCATAGCAGCAACAACGGTGGCTAAAAATATCAACGATGTCCAAGACTCTACCGCCTCTGCCTCATCATAGTGGCGATGCTGGCGGCGCTAACACTCCAATAAAAGCTGCTGAGCTGAAGATAATATTAACATTTAATAACAACAATGCTACGAAATCAGGCGCTGAGGGTTTCTGCCATTGATGTTGCTATCACTGTTGTTGTGCTCTGCTGTTGTTGCTTCATTGTTGTCGTGCACCGTTGTTCTTGCTGGGTTTGCCACTTTTATTGCGGCCATGGCCACGGATGCGGTCCTGTTGGCGTTGCGTCGGTGACGATCATTCTCATCGTCGCTGCTATTTCTAACCTGTAGAGCGGTTGACGTTGCACCGGCAATGACAAATAGCAGCAACAGACATCGCCCACTTTCGTATACCTACCGTGTCTGTACCAGTAGGACGAAACCCAACGGTGGCGCAACGCCTAGCAACAAGTTCAAGGTTACGTTGACCTTGTCGCTGACGGTTTAGCCGTCGGCGCTATCTCGCGGCGTAGTTTTAGCGGATCATCAAAAGCCTCTCGCTGTTGGTTGAGTTGTTTCATGACAAGAGATGAGCTCGGGCGAGAGCAGCGCGACGCCAGAGAAGCGGGAAAAAGCGAAAGTGGCTGACGCTGTCATGACGCATCCGTGGCATGATACTCATACCGCTGTTGATTGTTGGTGGCACACGAGCGTTTATAAGTCAAGGCGTCGTAAGCTTGCCGTCTTGTAGTTCATGTTCAAGGGCGACAATCGCAATGAAGAGCAACCTTCGCAGGGGCATGCGTCAAGAGCGGTACCCATCATGGATTGACATTGAAACTATGCTATTGTTGTTTTTCTGGTATTTTTTACTTGCACTCTATATGATGTTTGGGAGAATAGGGGCATGTTCAAGGCGATGAAAAATTAATTTAAGAATTCGAAAAAAAAAGGGATTTCAAACAAACCTGATCTGCTGTGCAACGTGGCCGAAGAACAGCTCCTTTACGATAAGTTGGATCAGGAATAAAATTCCTCGTTGCCATTGCTGCCGTATGGCTTTTACGCGAGCACTTTTCTCCTTGGCGATCATCTTCTTCGAAATAGCCAATAATAATAGTGTGTGGCAAATTTTTCGACCTATAAGCAGAAATATATCAATTTATTACTTGCCGCGGCAATGGCAAAACGCAGTTTCTTTTGAGATCTCCGTTATATTGCTTGGCTTGCCTGCACTAGACTTAAGTTGGTCCTCCTTTAGTAGTCTTTTCTCCACTGCCAAAGTGGCTATCGCACAAAAATTAGCTCTTCCGCCTATAGGAAAAGCCAGTTCAATACTGACATTCACGTAATATCTAAGCTAGCTTAGCTTCGTTAGCGTTAACGTAAATCATTGGGCTCATACGATCGGCGTAAGAACGACTACGAATAGATCAGTTGTTGTCATTCGAAGGGTCCAGGATTGACCGCCCTAAACAAAGATTGAGGCGGGAAAGAAGATCTTCTTCGTGCTTGATTGCTACTATATGGTAATGCGATGTACTTGTGATCGCTACATTCGAGACAGGCAGAGAAAAAAGGGACAGTAAAACTAAGAACTTTGACCACCACGGAGCATTTGCGAGTACACGATCAGGTCTAGGCTCCGTCGATTCCCCTTTCATGTTCTTCATTATCTTGATTTCTTCGGTTATTACTATGCTGCAGTAATAGCAATACAGCAAAAGCTCTGAGCGCTGTTGTCGTCAACGAGGAAAAAAGCAGTCACCACAAAGAGCTATAATTGCAGAAGTGGTTTTTCGTCGCCTAACATATTCCGGGTATTTTTTTTGGTAGATTCAACAAATGTCTACTACAAGTTTAGTAGCCCGGAATAAATTTTTCAGGCCTCGTTTTCTTGTGACCTAGGAAGGAATAGCTTGTAAATATTAATTGGTGATCCGAAAATTACATTTTATGTGTTCCGGATGATCACTTACTGTTTTAGTGAATCAGGTTTTATACTGTCCATTGTTGGGAAGAAATCTTTAAGAGCAAGTTTCTTGTATTCAATTCATATATTTACCTAAAAAAACTTTCTAGATTTCAGTAAATACTTCGTAAATACAGTAAATAAATACTTGCGTAAATTGCATGCGCTAAAGGGAAATTTGTAGCAATCACAGTCGTCATGGTTTTGAATGTCAGAATGTTTTTGATAGATAGCGCGGTCGTAGTACACCGGGGTACAGACGATAGTTGGGCAACTTCGTAAACAATACGAAGTACGCAATTATCAAAGTGTCTGCTGTTAATACTTCCAACAGCCCCACTTCTGCAAATGACAAGGAACGTTGTGAAAATCATCTTTGTTAAGAGAGCGCGAAAAGGGAGCAGACTATGTAACGAGATCGTGTAGGCCAATATCTGATGCATTTCGCCTTTCTAATTACGATCATTCTGCGGCTGAAGCCTCCTCACAAGCATTTGAGCCGTAATTTATTTATTTTTTATATTTTTAGCGTTTTTTTTTTCATGAACAGGTTTTAGGAATTGTCTCGGCTACTATGCCGTTTTATAGATACGTTGGAGAAACCCTAGATTAGTCTAGCAAGATTCATCCCGACTAGATCTTATAGTGGAAACAGGTTCTTGTACCACCATGGGATCTACTGTGTCAGCAGAAAACCTGATTTTAAAGCCGTAGTCGTCATGCGCGAACAGCGTCAAAATTCAATTATGCAGGTAAGTATCTGTCAAAATATAAACGATGCCAGAATTCTCAGCACATCCTATCTTTTCTGCCCACAAGAACCCTCAGGTATGTCCTGTTCTACTTCAGCTTTTGTACGGCAGCTCTTGCAGCTTATATACCTAATATGTTTAGCTTCAAACTTGATGTTTGCATTAGCGTTGCGACGCAGACGTATTGTCGCTATGACAACATCTTCTCTGTCTGCGGGTAAATAGAATCAATATTCGCGCACTCCCGATGACGGCGTGCTCCGCCATCGTAGCGCAGTTATCATGATCTAGTTGGCTTGCTCAATACTAATATATGATTTGTTATTTCTCTTACCTTTTCGTTAGTATTTGTGACCTTCGACCCGAAACGAACTGCGCTTCTTGATGCCTGTCTGCTGCAACCGTTTCTGGAGAATTTCTTGAAGATGAAGACACAGTTGATTAGCGTACTCGTTTGATATCCTATAGGTTTGATTTCTGCTGTCAGCTCCAGTCTCTGAACTAGAAATTACTGCTACACGTTTGCATAGCGCAAATAAAATATTCACATACACATGAACAGACACACACAGACAATCAGTCTTGTCAATTCACACTAGCTAAGTTCAACCAATACAACGCATTCTCCAGCTGCCGGCTAAAACAATGCCGAACGACAGTATGGGACGTACAACTTCAAACATCCATTTAGCGCATTCGCACTTTTACAGACACGCGACATTTTACACGATCGACGCAACGCGACGCTTCTCACACGGTCGGCTTAATCGCGTCACATTGATTTTCTCTTCCAAAAGGCCTATACGCGCGGTTCCGTGCCTTAATATACTTCGCGACGTGCGCGTCTGAACCGCATTCGACATAGGCAAGTTGCACGGGATATCGAAAGGCTTGAAGGGAGGTAGCAGGTAAAAATCTTCACGGAATCCTTGACTTTGATCGGCACGTCCTTCGTCACGACCTTATTTTGCTTCTTTTCCGTCTCGACGTTAGGCAGGAGGGCTTTGTGTATTCATGGACATGATTTCTGACACCTTCTTCCAGCTTTGACATCATTGCGGATCATCCTCCGGATGGCAAAACCACCCCTCGAAAGCTTTGCTTTTTGTTTTCGTCTTCTTCCTTCTTCCGTTTCTTTCTTTCAAATTTATACAACGAGATGAGAACCGCAACCTTGCCTAGCTTGTTACACACGACAGCGTAAATCTACTCCTAGCCTACTCCTTCGCTAAAGATATCAGGGCAATAAGCTTGCCAGTGCTACTTGAACTACTCCACTTCCAAATTACCCTTTTCTTCTAATTAACCACAAACCCGCCTGTAACATTAATAAAAGGCGCAATCCGTGACCTTATTTTGCTCATCACCGGTAGCAGACGAAATGACGAAAAAAACACAGAAGTAGCACGCACGAAAGCACGTTGTTTCACACGATGCGTTATGGACATTAGCATTGGTACTTATTACTTTATACTTCTAATAGACTTATATGAGCCGCTGCAGCCTGGCAATCGCCTCTAACTAACAACCAGTATCAGGAGAGGCAGCACGACGACAAGAACCGTCACCACAGGCTGCACGGAGTGTGCGCCTGGACTAGTCAGTGGCGGGGAGGCGTCTGGCTCCAGCGGAGAAAATGGCGAGGGAAAGTCAAGACCGGACGGGATGGGTCGACCCAACCCGACCCAACGAGAACCAGCAAACGCAGGCCGAACAGGCACCAGTAGTAGATAGGAGAACGCCGAACCGCGCCGCGGTTAGTGGTACCGCAACGGCGGCTGATAGCGGCTGCTGTGAAAGCCGCGGCGGCGTCTGTTGTTGCTGTCGGTGCCACTGTGACCGACGAGTTACTCCACGAGCAAAATGACTACTACTACTGTTACTATAATATGACGGCGACGGCTGCTGCCGGTGCTAGTGGGCTTGCCGGCGCATTCAGAGCGTGGCTCCCAGGCTGCGCCAATCAACGCAGTCCAAATCAGGAGCCGAGGACTAAACATGCACGAGTTACGAGTGTCGTAAAGGACTGAGGGGGTGGAGGTTGTAGTCCGAGCACAGAACACCCGAACGCTTCAACAGTACGTGTTGCTGTTGCTGATCGTGTTGTTACTGCGGCAACTAGCCATGCGACAATCGCTACTGGTGATTCGTTGTTTTCGTTGGCCGTTGAAGTAACGATGTTGAACGGTGGGCGATAAGCGTGCAGCCTGGCAGCACACTGACGCGAGGCGCCAGCCAATTCGCCAGGCGCCGGACAACAACGAACAAAATAACTAAGCTAGCCGGAGTTGAAAAAGGCCAGAGACGAGACAATGTTGCTGTCACTGATGTTGCTGAACAGCGATAGACGGTCATTTCTCTATTCTTGAGCAAAGGCAATTGTGAGGGGGAGGCGATAAGCGCGGCTTCGAAGAGGGTGACGCATGTGCGACGCATCATTTGCATTGCCTATGAATGTTTCGGGTTTTAGGTCTAGTATCAACTTGAACTAGTTAATCATTGCTGCTTCAGACGGGTGGCGGTTTCTCCAGCATTAGAAGGTTGATTGTGTGTGCAGCAGTTCAGTGCTGATTCTGAACCCCACCTCATTATCAAATATTATTGAATTTAATGGGAAGTAAACACGTTACCACTGCACCATCACGGGGGCACTGTGTGCCGCCTAAGTGAAGTGTTGACCCCACGCAAGCTTGATTGAGTATGAGTATATAGGAATAGGACTAGTTGTGACCTCGGTATGTTCATATGCGGGTATTCGTCGAAATGCAGGTAGCTGAATAGTAAGTATGGAGTGTTGTCCAAAAAGTTGGTATGAAGGACATGAAGAACGTGTAGGAAATGACTCGAGGATGAAGTACAAAAACTGATCTGACTGAACGCGAATTTCCGTGGTATAGTACGCAATACACTCGACCTTGCAGGGACGTTCTGTAGCTTGAATGCTTTGAAACGCACGATAATCGTAACATTTTATGGGGACAATCCGATGTCTTTATCAACACAAACACCTATACAATCATGGCATCTTCTTTTTCTTGCCAACTTCTAAAAAATCCGCTCTCAACAAATCTGCTTCAAGCATGCTTTCCAATCGCTTCCTGGTCACCACTTCACGGTCAGTTGTTAGCGCGTAAACTATAACTTCTGAAAAAACAACATTACATATATTGTCATGCTATACAACCTAACCTACGAGTCTTTTTGCGATTGGCAGAACAGATCTTTAGCAGATCGCCGAAATAATCTTGACTATTGATCATCTGCATCCATCCTTTTACCATAGGGGAAGATTAGGTGAAGGGGTGAACCCCAAAAGGCGTCCGTTCCTTTACCTACTCCCTTAAAAGACTCGAGACAGCCCCAGACGACGAAGACCAGCGGATCAGGATCATGAACTAAAACGGTGCAAAGCTCTCTATCAAACATACAGGGTCATCAATTGCCTCTATCCCTCATACTTCCTCTATGAAACTTATCAGGCCTAAACGTCTTGCGACGATAAGACCACACCGACAAAATGGCCACCAACTAGTTCGATCATTGACGACGATCGAGTGCAATCTATTCAGGCCTAACTCGAGGAAAAGAAAAAGGAAAAGACAAAAAAGGGAAAAAATAAATCAGAAAAAAAAAATGTGCAAACTTGAACTTCACTAGCAAGCTGCTTATTCGGCAACGGGCTGGTGGTCCGCAGCTGAGGCGCGATCACGATACGGTCACTGCCGTTATATCGGAGCAAGCGATGTAGGATCACCTATCCTTCTGCTTCGCTTCTTATTCTCGTCGGGAGTCAGGTCAGCGTTTTTTTTCTCTTGACGCGGCCTACTCGTCTTATGTTAGAACGAAATAAGAAACGAAGATCCAGAGAGAATCGGCCAACTTAGAAAGATCGTGCATCAGTAGGGGATGAAGTAGACAAGGACAAGACGAGAGAGATCGGAGATCTCGAGGCAAGAAGAATGAGTCGATAGTCGTGCTGCGGGTTCAGCGCCATTATTGTGGTGCTCAGTTGCGACGAATACTTCGATGTGACGTCACCACCGGGTCAACGAATCCGACATAGCAAGCCTGGCCAACTCGGCCAAAATGACCAGTTACGGTATATCTACATACAGTCCAGATCCAGACTCCATCAATGACGCAGACAGTTAGACCCATACGAGTAGCCGGTGATAGGCCATCGAACATGTCTCCTGCCGGGCTAGTCGAGTTAAAGGTCTCAGCTACGCAACACTGGACCCCACTGCGGACTAAAAATTGCTGCTTCATCTATATATAAGACGAGCAAGGCGAAATCTTGAGTAGAGCTCAACGGTGTCTTTATACCGCGCCTTTGTTCTTCTGTAGGACTTCACTATTGTTCAGGGGATCGAAGGAACAGTATTAGCGGTACCACTAACATGAATACAATCCTGTGAGAAATATGCACGAAATCCGATTCGATTTGCATCATTTCATCAGCTGTACGTTGTCTACATAGAGGTAGTGAGAGCAAAGTTTGCGCATATATTCATGCGCGAAATATGTTATGGATGGCCAATAGCAACTATGAAACCCTTAAAAAAATATCTACATATAAATTGCTCTCAACGTCATATATAAAAGCCCCCGGTACGCCACATAATCCTATAAGAACAACATAGAATAATTTTATTTCAAATCCATGACAGCTTCTGTGAATATGGTAAAGTCTTGTTGCCTCAGATCAAGCCTTCACTGTAATTCGTTCACTCAAATGGACACAATCTTGAACCCCTGAATATGTGCCTTGTTTCGCTGAATGAATGGATTGCTCAATTCGATACTAGGAAAAGCCTATCTTCGCTCGTAGGGGTGCCCCTCAAAGCGCATTGTTGATGCCTCTATTTAGGCCGCAGCGGCCGCTACCGCCGCTGTTGTTGTAGCTCATGCTGTCTTGTTTAGCTGGTTTCGTTCGGCTGACTCAGTGACCTAATTCCGCACGCTATGTATTCCGCTCGATATGAGCAACCGCTTCGTGAACGCACAGTGAGCGAATTGGTGCTCGGTGCCGATGGATGAGGTGGCGTACTTCGGCGCAGATCAGTACCGCTTGGCGGCTAACGGTATGGATCGATCAGAGTCGGATTCAATCGGAGCGAAACGTTCTTTGTCGCGAACGTAGACTCTTGTGGGACGTGTATATCTGATAGGCAGACAGATCGATCGGTATATGCTCGGTAGAGGTGACTCAGAAGGGAAGTATAAAAACAAGAATTTTTCTTTAAGGTTGAAGTGTTGGTGATTTTTTTAATGAAACTGAAAATGTCGAAAAAGATAAAAGTGAAGAAGAATCAAATAGAGGTGATGGTTTTCATTTGGCAACAAAAACAAGTACATAATGGCCACTGACCTATACGCTCATGAAGGTGTCCAATGTGGAACGAGTGGCGGCGCGTCCATTCGCTTAATGTATGCCGATATCTGTGTATATATATAGATAAATCTGGTGGACTGAGTGTCAGGTACAAGGAAATCGAATACAAGGAAACAACATTATACATACATCAACGCCAAACGTCACCGGTCAGACAACCAGGTATATACCTTATTTAGACCGATGTCATAATAACGTCAAATACCGACGTACGCCCTTACTTATTTTAATAATTTCGATGAAATTCACTGCAAAGAGTTAACTAAATGTTACAGCGTTATTGTACTGAAGCTACAAAGACAAGTCTGGTGCAGACATAGCAGAACAATAGAAGCAAAATCAGAAAAGCTAGAATCCGTATATATATCAAACGTTTTTGCATGACAGTTTGTGAATATTATCATTTACTATTAGATGGTGCCCAATACTAAAATAATAAGAACATGTACTTGACCTGCGAGCGAAAGAGAGCTATGTAATCTAACCTGCCAAAGGTCGAGACTGCTTTCTAAGTTTTTTTTTTAGATTATAGCCGATTGAGCTATATACATATGTGCTTGATCATCGACTACCCAGTAGAAAAGAAAACCGCTTCTTGTGGAAAGGACTTCTATTGAAGACACCAGAAACTCACTCCGTCTACTCCTTGGTTTTTCCATTGTTGCACGCACCGTTTCCTACATATGGAGGGTTTTTGCAGCAAGAGCCACTGCAGCTTGAGATGACGGTCAATATTAAATAGTATGTACGGTTATGCTAAAGAAAGACCTTCATTGAGCTGATGTTTGCATCGGTACATTATCCCACACAATGTTTGAAAGAAAATTTGGGTCACCCACTCAGCTAATTGAAATTACATCGGTTTTCAGAGGTCGAAGTTCCTTCGAGGCAGGATGAGGCCCGAAAGTGTCGATCAATCGCCTGTTTGGGTGCAGAACGGAGCACTTCCGGCAAAGCCAGCGGCATTTTCTTCCGCGTTCCAACAAAAGCGAAACCACTGACCCACCTTCCTCAGTGAGGTAGAACAGTCATCGAGCTGTTGAAATGGTTGATTGTAAGGCGGGTTTTCTGCGACACGACGATTTGAAAGCCAACAAGAGACCCAAATGCATTAACCAAGGTCATCTGCTCATGCATAACCATCAAAGGCAAAGTGCGGAAGCAACGAAACGGCGACGTTGATGCTCAGCTACTAGGATTGAATGCTACGGTAAACTTAAAAATGCCGGTTTCCGATTGAAGATAGTTGAATTGCCAATTGAGTAGCCTTGACTTTTAGAAGAACTTAATCTCAGCTCAGTAGTCATTTAATTCTTAGGTCGTGTAATTCACATAAAAAGTGGTCGGAAAAAGTGTGGTTTTGGGATTCCTATAGGAAATTCATGCACGCCTATGGGTAAATAGGTCGAGGTTGTCTAAGGATGAAAAGTGAGAATCCTTGAGGAACAACAGATCTGCCCGCTCTACCTTTTATTTCAATTGCAATATTATAGTAAAACATATAGAATTACTTGTGGGTAGAAGATTTGTTCGTTTGTATGACCATAATCTATCCGTGCACCGCTAAATTGTTCAAATAATAAATCAGTTAAATAAATCAGTTTATTTCCTTTAGTATACACCTGATTATTATATTGCAGTTGGTGTTTACCTGTATAAATTCGGTATATGTTTTCATAGGGATGATTAAAAAGAAGGATCAAACATGGTTAGGTAAGCGGTCCACATTATCCGATATTTGCGCCTACGAATAACTTCCTGGACCGGTGATAGACGCTTCTCAAGGACAAGTCTTTGACGGAACAACGGGTCCTATACTGGAAAGAACTGAAGATCTTAAACATGATAGCTCCAAATTATTTACAGTCTGCGCATCCAGCCATGAAAAGTTCTTTGTGACGAAGTGTCATTGGACAAGCTGTTGTTCCGCACTTAAATTTCACTTATGTATATATATATACAATTCTAATATTTCTCTTAAGAAAATCATTCCGTCCTCGCTTATGTGTAACATTGCAAGTGTGAGGACTAAACCAGCATCGCAGTTTTTAAGGTGAGATGCCGACGCAAGCTTTTCGGGCAAGGTTCCTTTCTAAACTTAGTAGCCTGTAGTTACACTTAGTTATTCAAGCCGTCATAATCATCATCATAAAATTGATTGCTTTGATGATGCTGGGCAAACATTGCGCGCTTACTTGTTAATTATTACAGAAGCCGCCTATTGTGGACGACGTTTTTTCAATCTAAGTAGTCACAAAATATAATGGTCCAATAAGATTGTTTTTTGGGGGGTTAAGACAAGTTTGGCAAACCTTCGTTGTTTATATTTGGTGCAATCTTTTGTTGATACAATTCTGTTAGCATATGCGTACCTTTAAGCGTGTATGATTCTGCGTTTTACCCAGTGTTGTGAGTTAAGACTTAAAAAATCTGAAGACAATAGGCATAAAAGGTAAATCCGAATCTACAACTTAATTACTCTTCCCTTGTTCAAGAGTTGTTCAGACGAACCGTTCACAAACACATTCGATAAGAGTTTTTCTATATGTCATTCGGAGGCTAAAAGCGACCCCTAACTAAGCTTTCGATAAAGGTATGTTGTATAGTCATGCGGAAGACGGGCCACTCTAATGTCTTGGATGTTAGTGCGCTATGTAAGCCAGTGCTTTATTAATGTTCACATTTTTCAAATGAGTCTTATATGTCCTTTCATTGCTTTTATTACAGTCGGGACAATCTTTATAATTATGTGCAAGCTGTCGTTGCAATCTTTGTTTGAGAAAAGTCGAATACAATAATGACCAAATTTAAACTGTAGATAGAGCTCAACAGTGTGGTTTATTATGTGCACGTTTGCAGGTTTAACGATTAATTACGATAATCAGCTGTACTTAATTTTGAAGACCTAATTCCTATAGTAAGATATGATCACACAACCAGATTCCACTTGTGACCGGTGGCGCCATCTATGGTACAAAGAGGCAAACATTTTAATGCCAATAATTAGAATGCTGCAACTAGTGGTGCGGCTACAAGTTGTTTACGCTTTTCTAGTTCGAAAACTATCAACTAAATATGTATGTAAATCTATTGGTATAATGTCATAACTTGAATTGAACAAAGCAGTATTGGAACCACAGGACGATGCCAAGGTGCCCATTCTAATTAATCTACAGTGTCGACGTAATAAAATTCGAAGAGATAGAAACTTACAAATAAGCGAAAATAAATGAGTGTGGCTTTTGAGGTAGCTTGTAATCACTTGAGCAGAAAAACTTAAACTGAACGCTAAAAAACAAGCGAATACAATACAAGGAAGGCGCGAAATGTCCTTGTTTTTCTAAAGTAATGTAATATTATTATTATAGTCCCGTATATGATGTTCATGTACAACGATACAAATACCAAATCGTTTCTTACAACATAATTTTTGTACAGTCACAAAATTCCATGGAAGAATAGAAAACAAGTAATAATACCTGCATGCTAACCGAACGCGGTGTTCATAATTTGTAAATATGTCCATCAGACAATTAGCAGCATGTTACGCTTAAACAACAAACGCATATCGTCGACGCAGGGGGCGAGTGATTCTTAAAAAAAAAATGAACCATTTTGAACATAGCGATTTTTGACTACGAACTCGAATAGGAAATTTCAGCTACTCTTATAATTTAAGCTAAAATATCACACCAATTCTGCGCCATAAAAAGCGACTGAACAAACTAAAACATATAAAAAAACGTCTAAAAAAAACGCCAAAGACATTACAGTCGCTAGCGATAGCTAGTCGTCCCCCAGATAGTAGATATACATATGCTCCAAGGCGACGTGATTTCCTTCTGTTCCAACAGGTTTACTCATTTTTATAAACAGTCTCCTTTAATGATGTCGTTCTACATAGATGTTCCGTCCGTGCACAGGATTTTTACATCCTAGATAGTGAAAGTATTCTTCTGGAAGGTCAAGGCTCTGTAAGTCAACTTCTTCACATCTTTCGATATAATCCTCTTGCTCGCTGTATTGAAGTGACACACATCTAAATATGTGCGAAATTCTCAATGGAGCACACTATTACTCTTAATTAGTTTTTTTCACCTGAGACAGCGCTGCCTAATCCGGTTTGTCAAGTGTTAACAGAAGCATAAAACGAGTTGGCAGTTCGAGAAACCTACCTGAAGCGCCTGTAAACGTAGGCGAAACCGGGAATTTTTCAGCTACATGGCCATTGCAGTAGATGACGGCGGCTAGCCAGTTTACTCAGATCCTCTCAAGGCGCAACACGCCGTTTTCTTTTCGTCGTCGAAATACATGGTAGTTTGCTAATTCCATCAATCAAAATCAGTGCCCTGAAGTAGACCGCAGCAAATACATATCCCGCTTCATAGTAGTAGCATTCAGGTTGCAGTAATCACCGCAGAAAAGCATTTTCCATTCTATTTCTTTAGGAGAATTTGAAAGCAGTACTAGTGACTACATGGTGGTTCGATGGTACCCTTGTGCAGTGTGGCTTGAGTCTCGTCATTAATCGGTAGGTATGTCTGTCAGGTTGGCCAAGAGGTTGGCTACACTGGCCGTCAGAGGAAGCACGAGGCGACCATGAGACACCCCTCACATGAGTAAGTTGAAGCCAGGAGAAAAAACTTTCCCTCTCAAAGCCGGTATTACCTCGGTAAACTTCATATATAGTCGATTGCTTTGACAGGGCAATTGCCCGAGTCTGTGAGTACCACTTGTCACAAGCACCGACATTCGTGCGTACTTCGCTATGCCAGGATACATAGGTGCCCTCTAACGAACAGCTTTGAATAAAACAGTCCATGAATGTGCCATTTAGACACACACACAACTGCCTGGAGTGATATATTAGTATAAATTAGAGCATCCACAAAGAACTCCTTCACGAGCTTGTTGTTAAGAAAATTTCGTTAAAACGTTGTTAACCATATTGCTGATGGTGCCTAAACTAGATATCTGGGTGTGCTAGCCGTCGTATAGGTATGGAGGCGTCAGTGGCCTCGTTATAGCACGCTAATAAAGCTCCTTTGCCAAGTCTGATGTTACCTCGGCACGTCAGTCTCGTTTCAACAGGTTTGTCTCCATCACTAATTCACTTTCGTTCGTTCCACTCTCATCCGGTATCTCGAAGTCCCAGTACAGGCGGAGGCGCCCGAAATGAAGTGGTTGCAAACGTAGCATATTTCTTTAGACGAATGTATAGAGGCCTTTTTGTCTGTCTTGTGTAACCACAGTACGGGCATGATATCGCTCTCCGTTAAAATTTCTTGAATGGTTTGGTCCTGAGTTATTCCCATGTAGCCGAAATAGTTACGAATGATGTCTTTAACGGGCTATTAGAGCTTGGAGTTCGGTGATCCCTGCTTCAATCGCATTCAATGTGGCTGCGCCCTGACGCCTGCTGCGCGCCGGTCAAAGCGTTAATCCACTCTGCAAACAGAGTTAATGCTTGTCGTATATTTATGTCAGATTCCACTTGATATCAAACAGACTTTTAAATATATAGATACATTTCATACCTTTATAGCCATTATTTATTAGAAAAGCCATTTTCTCTCTCTGCCTTGGTATTACTTCAAATCGTTTTTATTAGGTGGTACACCTACATAGGTATTCCTTATGCAAATGGTAGCCATCTCTACATATTCATACCTATATAGAAAGGCATACACTGAACCCCTCTTCGATGTGTATCAAAGTGGGGTTGCGGTTACACCCGCAATAAAAGAGGGACCGGCAAATATTTTATGGACTTCTTGATATTAAAAGAGAAGTCGTAGCTGAATATGACGTATTCAAACAACTCTTTTAGTGTAGAGGGGTGCTTACCTGTTCGAGTGTAAAGCTGCGCTTGGAGAACGTGAAGCTTGACGAATCCTTGAGTACAGTAGAACAAGAAAAGACAATGATTTACTATATTAAACACGCAACATGTTTTGCTGTAATATATACCGCTGCTGAGACGTATTAGCATGCGAAAAAAAAGACCTGTAGGAAAGCATGTGAGAAGTCTTTTCGCAAGCATCTCACCTCACTTATGTCTCCATCAGTTAAAAATATCGTAAGGTGCAAAAAATCAAGCACAAAGTTATACATTTTTTTTAAAATAATGAGGGTATAAAGAGGTACAAAAAAAAAAAGTTGAAACTTATTTCCTTTGATGACTTGCACTTAAGTTGACTTTACATTACACTGAGCAGAAAGAATAAGCTTGCGTATCTGACATCCCAGGGAACCTGAAGTGAACTAGCGGTACTAAATAAGTTTCGCATCAAATACATCACACCTCCAAATGTCTAACCATCTTTTTACATATATTTTTTAAGCTGACAGATTAATTTTTAGTAATGCTTATTATTTGGAATATTTATTGGAACTTGAGTACATTATTCAATCACACTTTTCGTGTACTCTGTGTCGCTGGCTAGTTGTTGACCGCAAGGGTTTCTAGGAGGTTTTTTTCAGTCTAAAGTCTAGCCCTTCCAGCCACTACACATGTTTTTTACTATATGAAAAAAATTCTCACCATCAGCTCTTGAATATAGAAACAGGGGGTCTGGTTCGATTAATGGGATCGAAGTTGGTATTGCTGGACCTATGTACAGTTCCCCAGTAAACCTGTAAAGGTATAGTACCACCTGTACTAGGTATCATACCCAGACTGCGCCGCTCCTTGTAGTCACTGTCATAACGATATACATATATCTATGGAAATCCAAAATATTATTAAATATACCAGCCACGGCTGTTTAAGCCGATAAACTAAAAATTGTTAGTCACTAAGTAATATGAACCATCTATCTATTGAATATCCAAATATGAAGTCTGGTTTAACTGTTTGCAAGTTCGCACTGTACGTGGAGACTATGAGACCTTACAAATGTTCCAGTTCGGTTTTCGTAGGCACTGTCTTTCAAGGTGAGTACTGAATATAAACAGTTTGGCGGGACTAAACACGAAATCGTCAGCTTTCGCCGTTGACTGTAAGAAGCATAATAAGGGCTGACTTTCCGACTAGATACACGAAAGCTGGCAACCCTTCACACAGCCCCCAAGGTTCCCGCGGCATTTTGTGCGAGCTTACTCCACATACCCATGATGTAACGAGTGACTGCTCTTATAAAGTCGAACGAACTTAATTCTGTGGTTCCGTAAAAGTATTTTGCACTGTACTTAGGAACATCGGAAGTAAACGCAATCAAAACATGTTGGAGGTACACTTCGTTTTGCATTAGAAGAGACCAGCCATTTAAGGCAGTGCAGTACTAAGGCAGTACCGGACATCTGCGTGCTCTGCATGTCGGGCATGAAGGACAGAGTAGAACATACTCTTCTTCACTGCCAGGCACTTAAAGCGGTCAGAGATAAACAGGTACACAGAGAAGTAACAACAAAGGGCAGTAGTAAGGGGATGGTGGATATGATGACAAAGGACAGGACGAACTGGGCCAAAGTTACGGCTTTCTTTGACGATATTATGAAAAGAAAAGAAAAACTAGAAAGGATGAGGCGTAAGAGAATAGTTGAAGGGCAGACCCGAAACAATAATGGGCCCGCACAACACCTAGAATTAACAGAAGTACAGGGAGTATGATTCCCCTCGAGATCTAGAGTTTCTGGTCTAGAGGAAAGCCTGAATGGAGGATGGACTGGAACGGCTCAAAGGGAAGGATGATGAAATAACCGTTCCTGCAAGTCATGGTTTCGAAGCAATATCAAACATATCCTGAACCATGGCCCAAGCTGATAAAGGGGTCCAGGGTTTAGTGGGTGAGAGTCCCACGGTACGGGACAAAACACAATTCAGTGATGTCCGGTCTGCATAATGCATTTGCCCTTAAACTCCAAAAAAAAAAGTACCGGACGTAAAACTCAAAATGTTTATTTTACCAAACGCAGACTTGCAAAAGTACCCTATACGACCTTAATCAAGCTCTGTGTAGTTCCCTGGCCTAAACCAGTATTATTCTTAGTAAATTGGTAGAATCTCTAGCACCATGCGAGCGGGAACTTAGAAATGAACACTATGTGCAAGCAGGCATGTATATATTAAATTTCTTTGTAAAGTAGTCAACTTTGCTTGTAGACAGAAACTGTATAATATTGTAATCTAAAAGCTTGCCAACGACATTATAACTTTAACACCACACGGTAAACCAGTAACCACGATTTTCCGATTCTTTAGAAAACGTTCATTGCAAAAAGGCGTAACTCCAAAGCGAATCGATAAGTACGTTTGAAACTGAATCTCCTGGTAAGGCGATTTTATAATATATAGTGATTGATGTATGTAAAACGTAATTTGTTAGCTTTCATCCGTTAATAACGGTGTGTGCCAAACCGAAAATGTATATCTAAGAAGTCTTGATAACCCTTTCACAAAAGTATTTACAATGATCCTACGCCGAATCATTTCAAGAGGCTATAAAATTAACTATGGTAAAATTAAGCTCATATCTTCTATTGGTATCACTGCTTAATCAGATAGCGTTAATGAAAAATAGAAAACACAGATCAATATATAATAATATCTTATAAAATGACTTATTTTGGCTTAAAATCTCTTATAGATTTACATTTTATTTTACAACCTGGTAATTGATCGCCATACTTTCATTGCCGACTGCGCCGAAAGCACCTAATCTCGAAATAGTAATCTCGAACGCGCGCTTTTTTAATAAAAAACAAACAGGTTCTTTAATGCAGTTTAAAGATTTTTGTAACATAACAAGTAAACCTTCAGATTGTCGTTACATGTCTTTAGCGTATTTTGTTATGAGAAATATTTACTTTTCGTTTACTTTCATAATGAATTATTTATTTTACCTGAATTATGACAGTAAAATTAATAAAAATTAATTTATATAAATTCTTAATGACAGTAATAAACCTAACTCTTGAAATACTTGGATAATAACGTATTGCATTTTTTATTTAATTTAAGTAGAAATATTGCTTTTGAGATCATTTAATGATTTCTAATAAAGGCAGCTTAATCATGTAACCATCTGTAATAACATTTTGCACCGATATCAATTGTACTTTAATTGTATTATCTGATATAGGCAAACAACAATACATAACGCGTACTGAATGTACATTGAGATGTACGGGGGTGTAGCTCAGATGGTAGAGCGCTCGCTTAGCATGCGAGAGGTACGGGGATCGATACCCCGCACCTCCACGTCAACATTTTCTTTTTTTTTTTTTTAAATTTGAAGTTATAAAGCACACATCATAGAGGTCGAATCTAAACCACGCTTGCAATTATCTTCAATTGGAATGAAACATTGACCACATCGCTATATGAAAAAATGACCATAGGCTATATAACCAATTGCTGGGTATTTCCAGATCAGGCTCATCTAATCACCCTTGTCAAGCCGTGCTTCAAGCACTTGAAATACATGCATTTATGACAACTCGGCCTATTAAGCTTTGTATGCTACCTTATGTTGAATTCACAAATATCAATTACTTCTTGACAAAACGATATTATATTTATCTTTTATTTATTCACACCAGTGGTCCAGTCTACATTCAGATTACGATTATGATGAAAGCTTTTGTGTTGAACTACTGTATGTCGTTGACGCCAAAAATATATTAATTGCCAAGGAACAACTATGCAGGTACGATTTCCAAGAAAACGTATTCTATGGCTTTTCTGTTTTTGTAGTTAATTTGCCAATTAGTATATACTAACAATGCTGTAGAAGGAACTGACGGACATATAATTTCGATATATCGTTATTTGTCTCGCATGTTTTTCTTTAGTTAGTATTAGAAGTTTTCTATGTGAGTATATAAATTAAATTTACCAATTTCTTACTTAGGAACCTTTTGCTAACTTTTGCTAACGGCCGATGCCCCACGTCTCCGGAGACGGCCGTGATCGTATAGTGGTTAGTACCTTGCGTTGTGGCCGCAATAACCCAGGTTCGAATCCTGGTCACGGCAATGTTTTTCTATTAACTTAGCTTACCGTTTTTTAGATATTTCTACGACATTTTGACCTCGACACCAACTAGTTTCCGCTAATATTATGAGGACAATCTTCATGAGAAGAATAATTTAATCATAGCCTACTGAACCAGGACCGATGCCTTAAGCTGGTTTTGAAAGAACTGGCTTACGGATACCAGCCCAACTAAGTCTGTTGGATATTATCGGGTGTCAGGTTGATCAGCTGGGTAATCACAGCTGCCGCGCAAACTGATCCAGATGCGTAATGACAAGTCTCGCGATGGCACGCGCCGCTCAGACACGATAATGCCGTTTAAAAAACTAAAACGCCAGATCCGTAGTAACGTCTCCTGCAATAAGGCAACTTTCGTTTTCAAATAAGTCGACCTTGCTAACTAGATCTAAAATTGTGTTTTAACTTAGATCAGTTTAAAAACGTATGTTGCGTAGGAAACTGCACATATGTATAGCGTAATAATTCTCATTTTTTCAGGATTGGATTTTGCATTGGAACTTACGTATGTATCAATTTCGCTTATTTCGAAAAAAAATTGTAGAATTCAGAAACTACGCGTTTGAGTAAAACTTTTGCATTATAGGGGGATTGAATTCGCAAAGTGGTCTGATCTATTATGTGGTATCGAGGAATACGCACATATCTATATGTTATTATTATTATATATATATATATATATATATATATATATATATATATATATATTATATACATATGTATTATGTCAAAAATAAGGAATTATTCATCATTAAACTTTAGTTTTGCTATATTTATGAAACGAGCATTGATATATCTATATTCATTTCCTTATACGTTACAAATATCTAGTTTGTGGTTCATCAATAACAGATCGAGACAGGCAACATAGAAAACCGTCAATTTTTTTTAGTATATGGTTTGTTTTTTCTTTTGTAAAAATATATTTCGTGTTCAGTTAAAACGTTTTTGGAAGCAGAAAATAGAAATACGTTTACAGGAAACAGTTCACTGTTCTTCTTTCTTCTTTTTACTACCATAGCACTAACAATAACTTGCCAAAATTATGTGTACTCAGGCTCCGGTGAGATTCGAACTCACGATCTCCTGTTTACTAGACAGGCGCTTTAACCAACTAAGCCACGGCGCCACGCGACATCCTGCTGGGATCCATCATTTTGTATCACGTCGGATTTTTCAGAACAAATGCCCTGAAAAATACTACATCACGATCGCATAAACGTATCACCCTATCTACTATTTATTTGAGCAAGCAATAACGCTAAGTGAAATTAGAAAGAAAAGAGGAATGTTTTTTGTGTTCTTTGATGACAGCATATGTCGGCAATATTAGTATACGACTAGTGAAATATTGGGCAAGTAATTACGCGATAATATACTTTCTCCATGTGAGTGATATTTCCACTGCCATTCTTGACAAACCACAGTTGATCGCTTTAATCTGATGCTGCGTACCGGACTGGTTAAAGTCAGAAGGCACTTCCAATACAAAATCTCCGGTTACGTTGACAATACGCGATAATATTGCCCCTAAGCCGGTTTATTTTTTCTTCCTGAACCTAGCCGCATTAACGCATGATCTCTATCCCCGTTAACGATAAATAGAAGCCCACGTGAAACCTTGTATTGGAAGTACGCGGGGGAGGTATTTATATATAGTCTATCAAAAGCGCGTGCAGAATTCAAAATGGCCGAATAAACAGCCTTATCAGTGCTAGTTCGTTGTAAAAGTAGTTAAAATGTGTATGACGGCATTCGATACTGCAAAGAAAATAGACAAATAGTCTATTTAATCTGAAATAAGGGGTCTTCTAATTTCAGTTGAAACATTTTCATTTTTATTATCACTTGTGGAAAAAGCTAGCAAAAGTCAATGGAGACATATTCTAGGAATGCATGTAAGTTTTTCGTAATCGCATTTCATTCATAATATACTGTTAATCGATTGACGGCGTTCGATTGACTGAATGT